CTCAACTTATTTATTTATTTATTTTCAATTATGAAAACAATTATTCAAATAAGAACTTGATAGTTTGATAGAGATTAACCATCTCATGGATTAGTAACTTACGAGTGGAAACTAAATGAAGGAGAGGCCTCCTAAACTGAGCCGAAGCTGCCCTCTGAAATAGTCGTTGGAAAGATGTTGAGTCTGTTACCGCCATTTCTGTAAATGTTAAGAGAACATACAAAAAAAATTGTTATATCTTTTCAGTTTTTTAGTAATTAGTTAGCAACTTTAATACGCACGAAATGACAATCTTCTAATTTTTATCATCCATTGGAGTCTTATAAATAAACTACTTTTAAGAAGTAAAAGCCTAGAGAAAAAAATGTAATTGTTTTGATTTTGAGAGTGCCCATAAAAATAGTCCAACAATGTCTGAAAAGTAATATGATTAATTTCTTCGAAAGTGAATCACAGCTAAAATTTAAATTAAATTTTGAAGATATAAAAGAAAGAAGAAAGAAAAACATGTGAATGTAATTTGATAGGTAAAACGGAAATACCTATAAACTTGGGAGTGGAAATCACTAAACCTAAGTGGGCTTCTAGATAGGCCCAATTCCCTAAAGACCATGAAGTCAAATAAAGTTAGGACTTAGGATGGAGACAGATTAACTAGTAGGCAGATGATAAACACACCTTCACTCTCGTATAAATACACCCCCTTTTTAAAAAAAAGTATATAAAATGTCTAAATTACCCTTAAAAAAAATAAAATTCCTAAATTTACACCTCCTTCCTTGCACTCCCGTTCCCTGCACCCCCTTCCCCTCACCCCACACCCCCTTCCCCGCTACAATCTTGCAAAGCTACAGAGAGAAGTTCCAACAGAATTAATAAACAAAAAGAATGAAACAAAACTAATTAGCCTAAAAGTATAACTAAAGAACGATCATGATAAATATTCAATATTAACCAACAAAAATTAAGTTTCAATGAAATTCTAAAAGAAATTAAATTATCAAGGTTTAAGGTTCATTGTGAATGACGCTTACACTAGCCCATTCTCCAAGGGTCTTTGCACTAGGAACCGTCAACAGGCTAACATTGTGCTCTGCGCAAAGGGCCTTAACAAGTTTAACATAGTCAGGTTGGTCACAGTCTTCTGCTAGAACACAGAACTGTGCAACATGCTTCTCAATCACTTTTAATGCTTCATGAAGGCCTCGTGCAAGACCACCATAAGCCAGAGATTTTCTGAGGACAAGTTGTAAGGCAGTCATGATATCCATTGGCTCGCCTGGAATCGCGGCAGCTGACTCGGCTGCAACAACGGCAGGTTCTGCTTGCGGGGAAGGCGGGTGCGGGGAAGGGGGTGCGGGGAAGGGGGTGTAAATTTAGGAATTTCATTTTTTTAAGGGTAATTTAGACATTTTATATATTTTTTTAAAAAAAGGGGTGTGTTTATACGAGAGTGGAGGTGTGTTTATCATCTGCCTAACTAGTATGTTGGAATTCCTCGTTCCTAGACTCATAAGTTGGACACACTAGCATTGTCGCACGAGTGGTCGACAACAATAAAAGTAAAATATATAAATATATTTTTGTCTTATAATTAATATATATATATATATATATATATATATATATATATCTTATTTCAGTCATTATAAAATTTACATTCTTTTATCGAAATCTTTGTTATTTTATTTTAATCTAGTGCATTTATTTTCATTTCAATCTTTATATTATTTTATTATTTTGAATTAGTCACTTTAAAAAAATTAACGAAGGCTAAAAGCAAATTATTCACATCTTACAAGAATAAAAAAGAAGAAAAATAAGCATATATTATATAAACTAAAAAACAATAAAGACTAAAATGAAAAATATACAAAGACTATTTCAAAAAATAAAATTAAAAAAATTAATATATTACATGAACAAAAAATGTATTAAGTGAAATTAAAAACAAAATTGGAAACTGGTGGGTCCTGAACTTATCCAATGATACTAGTCACTTACACGCTTATCATTTGAAAACGGTAAAAAAAAATTATGGTCTGATATTTTTGTTCATCCAAACGCCACAACCACAAGTTTCCTTTCTGCACTGGATACTGTTATGTTGTCTCTCTCTGCAAATAAATACGAATTTAGAATATTTACCTAATTTTTTATAATCTCTATGCTTGAAAGAACATGTAAGTAACACAAATATTAATTTCTATCTCTGAAACTGGTTGCAATTTTCAGAATCCAAACTAAACAACATCGATGATGAAGAATAGTATAAGACACAGTGTGGAATTAAGAAAGAAGTTGAAAACTGGAGAGAGAGAGAGAGAGAGAGAGAGAGAGAGAGAGAGTAACACAAATATTAATTTCTATCTCTGAAACTGGTTGCAATTTTCAGAATCCAAACTAAACAACATCGATGAAGAATAGTATAAGACACAGATTAGAGTGTGGAATTAAGAAAGAAGTTGAAAACTGGAGAGAGAGAGAGAGAAAATCAAATTATGTGTTTTTAGTTTTTAAAATGCTTATTTTAAAACCATTTTTTATTTTATTTTAGATACTGCATAAGAAGTTAATCGATGAAAAGTGTAAAAATATTTTTAAAAAATAATTTAACATTAAAGAGTGAGAAGAGAATCAAACCTACCTTCTCGCTGAGCATATCTATATCAAAAAGTGAAATTATTTGAAGAGATTTTTGTATATATATATATGTATGCTTAATTCAGATTTGCAAAACAAGGTTAGTCAAATCCAATATTTGAAGAGAATCAAAACAAGGTAAGACCACTGTGGAAAGGTTGCAACAGAGAAGAAAAAAAAAAAGAGGCCCCCTTCATGAAGTGCTTCTCAGAAAAGTTTAAACATTTTTCTGCATCTGAAATACAATATTTTTGTTCAAAGTAATATACTTGAAAATTATCGTGTCTATTTGTCCATGGTTAAAGGCTAGAAATGTTTAAATGGGAACATTTGAAGTTTCAAGAGATGAATAAATACCCAGATCATATAATCTAGTAGCAACATCTTGGAACCAAAGAGAAAAGGGTTTCACTGAAAAAGAAGTGGTTAAGATCCAACAAACAAGTAGAGTGAAATAAAGGAAGAGAAGAAAGGAGGGAGAGAGAGAGCAATACCTTAGAAAAGTTCAGAAATTTTCCATTTCCTCTTAGTCTTAGCTCTGCAGCGTGATTGGTTTTTCTTCCAAATTAATTTAAGAGGACACAGACCTTAAGTGAAGTCTTTTGGTCTGTCAAGAAGAGTCCAAGTGAAATAGGTGAATGCATAATTGATGGAACACCTCTTTGTTCTTGGTCAAGTCAATGATAAATTTATTAAATAAACTGGAACAATGTTTTGCAAGGTCAGTGGAAGCATCCCAATTTTAATAAAATAAAAATTAAATACAAAAAGAAAAGGACGAAAAAGAAAAGGGAAAGTAAAAGTAATAGTGGATGGTAAAAAATTATACTGATTTCGTGAGATTACGCATTATTTTTTTTTAAATGTTTGCAACAATAACACTTAAAACGGACATATGGTATAATTTTTTAAAAAATAATTAAGAAAGATTAATATAATGTTTAAGAGGTGTTAATGTTATATTTAACAAATTGAAGAGAATTAGTGTAAAAATAAAAAATAAAAAATTCATGTTAAATCTCTCTATGCTTAAGGGATATTGATGTAATTTACTTTTTGAAATAATGACATTATCATGGTTGTTGGGAAGTTTTATGTCATTTCACTAAAACAAAATTTATTATTAATGATAATTATTTAATAACAATAATTTAATTACCGCCATATATAAAAATATTAATGAATAATATATAATAACCACTAAAAATGTATTTATATTACACTAAAGTTTACTATTAGCGATAATTATTTATTAGAGAAAACTTAGGTCCCACATCGATTAGAGATAAGATAATTAAATAGTATATAAGTGAGTAATAATTATCACCTTACAAGTTCATTTTATAGGGTTGACTCCTAATTCACTATTCTAAATTGATATCAAATCATTCATTATTACCAAATTCAATAGTACTATAAAACAATTAGAGAACAACTTTCACCTTATAAATCTCACATTTCTTAAGAGACAAGACAATTAAAAAAATAAATTAAAATATATATAAATAAAAGACAACCCTCATCTTACAAATCCCACATCGAGTAGAGATAAAAAAAAAGTATATAAGTTATGAATTTAGAAAAGAAAATTATAGAAATAAATTATTTAAAGTAAAGGAGACAATTTAGTTGATCTTTACCGACATTTTATATAAATGTCGGTAATAATATTAGCGACACTAGAAACACTAGCCTTTATTTAAATGCTGATAAAAAAAAATAATAGTTATTTATATGGCTGCTAAATAATAAATTAATTGTCACAAAAAAATAATTTTGGTAAAGTGTTTGTCTCGATTCTTCAAGTGTAACTTATGTATCTATTAGACAACTTTAAGTAAATTGGTTTTAAAATTGAATATAACAGTATCAAAGCCTATCATCCATCTTCGTGATTTTCCTATTCCTTAGTTCATCACTCGGTCTGGCAAACATCTATAGTGAAGGGTTTTGGAAAGTTACATCGCCTACCTCAATTTTATGGGTGAAACTTGTATATATGTTATATTACTTTAGTTAATGCTAATTAATTTTTAGTTAAATTTTGACATGGCATCAGAGCTTATAGTTTATCTTTATGATTCACCTATTTGGATAGGTATTATCTAATTTGACAAGTGTTGAAAAGTCTTATATCAGTTATTTCAAATCATTCCTTTTTTTGTTATTGTCCAGATTTATTCTTTTTTTTAAAAAAACTCAAATTTGCGTATTGGATACTGTATCAAGATGGAGACGTGTTTCTTATAAGTGTTTGTGATGGAGACATGTCAATTTTGTAGGTATCCGCAATGAAAAGATATTCAATTCTTGAAGACATAGTCTGCTGAAGTGTTTGAAGTGCGTTCCCGACATGTCTAATTCAAAAGTGTCAAACTCGAGAACATAATAGTTCTATGCTGTGTCTGTGCAACATAGTTGACAAAGTTACTAGTAGAATGTTATCTTGGAAAACAAATAGCCTTTCTTTTGCAAGGAGAATGACTATGATTAAAGCTATAATTTCTGCAATGCCTTCTTATGACATGCAGTCTGGAAAAGTACCTAGGTACAAATGTGATGAGCTAGGGAAAATTAGTAGAGGTTTCTTTGGGGATGATAAGAGGGCACTAGAAAATTACATACTATTGCTTGGGATTCTGTTTGCAAACCAAAAGATAGTGGTGGTCCAGGCATTAGAAGTATGAGAAAAGTAAATGATGCTTCTTTTGAAAAAATTAGCTTGGGAATTATCCTCATGTAGAGGTAAATTGTGGGTCAATATTATTAGAGGAAAATACAAGTGTGGAGATTATATCATGCCAAGTATGAAATTTTCAGCCAATGCTTCAAATTGCTTGAGAGGGATATTATCCAATTGGGATAGTTTCTACAAGTCAGTAGTAGGGTGATGGGCATGACATTAACTTTTGGCTACCTAGAAACAATATCCAAATCTATGGTCCCACCGAAGTACAAAATGGACGAGATTCTCTAATTTGGAAGCATTCTATGATGAAATTTCAATGTTACATCTGTTTATCATATAGAAGCCACAAATGAACTTATCATTAACCAAGCCTTGTTCCAAACAATTTGGACTTGGCATGGATTCGAAAGGATTAAGTGTTTTATTTTGAAAGTAGCTCATAATGGTCTTTGTTAAGATTTTTATAAGGCAAGCGTATCAATCTTTGTAGTATAATAAATGTAGGGTTGTCAAATCTCAAGAACTTCTTGTAAGATTTTAGTAAATTCGTTCTTTTATTCTAAATAAAACTTGATAAGAATAAATTTATATAAGATAATATCATATTGATGCAATTATAAATAATATCTCTAGTACTAAAAAAATGCATAAAACAAGGCCATAATAGAAATTTATCGAAATATAGAGCTGTTAAGATTAAACTTCATCAATCTCACCCTTATGTAATCCTATGATATCTATATATAATTTGCATTACCCAACACCCTTGAGTTCACTGAATTCATTCAAAACCAATTCCTTGATTAAGAAATTCTAAGGATTACAACTTAACAATTGATTCATCAAGTTATCAAGTTAAAATCCTCGCATTAAGTTTTAAAACTTTTCCAACTAATAGCTTTAAATATATTCCTAGTCTTTGAGGTTATTAGGTGATTTGATTCACCCTAAACCCTAAATCCAAACTAAAGATTGAAGATGAGTGATCAGATCATCCAAGCATTAAGAGTAGAATCAAACTCACTATATTGAATAATAGAACATCATAT